TGGACCTGAAGCAGGACTCATTTATAAACACATCTATTTAAGCCTGGTGTTTTTCTCGCTGTTACAGGGACTATATCATAAATGTGCATTCTTTAGATGAAAGATCCTTCTCATAGAATGACAGTTCTGTTAAAAACCCATTATATTATGTCGCATGAAAAATGAAAAATTCACATTGTATATGTAACATAATAATAATGAAGGATGAAAGAGAAGAACTTCTGCTGAGAAAAATGACTGAAAAGAAATACAATGAATATTAAAAACCATGAGGCTTTGAATGGATTTTTTTTCTTCTTTCCACATTTACGGGCTTTATACTTCTTAATCAGAACTTATTACTATGTCATAAACTTATGAAAACATTGAAATATTGTATTTTAGAATACATTTTAGAATTATATTTCCTATAGCAATGTCATTGCTTTTCACTTATCATGTATTAAATGTAAAACTTTAGCATTTCATTTGAAGGAATCATTTGAAATCATGAACTTCTCAAACAAAATATTTTAATTCATTCTAATTGTTAAATAAATTGTAATATGCTTGCTCTAATAGGAAGAAAACTTTTTCAAAATCTATAAATAAGAAACTACTATTAAAACAGTTTTTATTTGATATTCCCTGTGAATTAAAGTATTATTTAAGGGTATCAGAAAGGAATTATTACATTTAACTTCAAGTCAAACCCAGTTTCTGGTTATTTTATAAAAATATCTATTAACATGAGGGATTTTATATCTTTATCTATAGATATAGATATAGATACAGATAGATATATATTCATTGAGAAAGCTGCTTATAATTTGAGAAAATGGAGTTTTCACACATTTACTGGTTTCATACTACCACATGTTTTCCTCCCGCCTCTCTTTTCCATCTTTAGCTTAAAAAAGGGAAAGAAGAGGACGAGGAGGAAGAAGAGGAGAAGGAGGAGGAGGAGAAAAGGATTTGAGGAAATTGAATCAGTTCTGGAACAGCAGACACAGGTAACCCATGCAAGCTAATCATTTGGGACACTTTATAAATGATTGTTCATGTTGATTGACAAGAGCCTGTGTCACTGACTGGAAAGGATGGAGGTGGGTCACTGATGAAAGCACCTTACTCACTCTCCTCCAGGCCAGCTCCACTGTGGTGACCGCAGCATTCAACACTACACCCAGCATAGTGAATTTCTGTGGGGCTATTAAGAATTATGTTCTAGAGACATACTTAATAATATGAAAACATGTTCAAATTATGTCATTATGTGTGAGAAAAATTACGATATTGAGAGAGATGACAGTCAAACCCTCAATGAGGTTCTCAATGATTAAGAACCATCATCTCTGTCATCAATTAATTAGCTCAAGTGTAAGTATTTTCTGATTTTTTCTTACACATTGCAAATATTTTCTGCCAAATTGTTGTTTGTGTGCATTGGGAAGTGGGATAGGGGAGTTGTGGAGATGGGGTCTCACTGTGTTGCCCAGCCTGGTCTTGAGCTCCTGGACTCAGGAGATCCTCCCACCTTGGCTTCTCAAAGTGCTGGGATTACAGGTGCAAGCCACTGCACCCAGCCAAATTGTGGCTTTTTAACAACATTTTGCTTGTTTTCTTTTTTTTCTCTCTCTCTCTTTTTTCTTTTTAACAACATTTTTAATGATATCTTTTGTCATTGCTTAATATTTTGCTTTTATCTAATTAAGTCACTCAATCTTTTCT